GGGTTATGACAGGCGCCTGCAGTCTAACCAGAGGGCAGTGTGTGTGTGTGCGTGTGTGTGTGCATGTATGAGAGTGTGTATTCTGTATGGTGCGTGTATGTCAATTGTGAGACAGCTCCTTGCTGAAAGATGACAAGCAGAAACTAATGAGAGCGTCTGTTTCTGCACACCATGGTCCGGTGTGTGTGTGTGTGTGTGTGTGTGTTCATGTTTAAAAGAACACACGCAGAAGGAAAAGAAGAAACAGGAAGTTAAAGAGAACTTAAGCTAACATGATGTACTACAAGTTTTGATTTCCTCAAGATTTTCAGAAATAATAAAAAAAAAAATAAATCAGTTGTAGCTTAACGGATGACGAAAAATTCAGAATATTTGCTAGGAAATTTGTATCAATAAGAGGCTGACAAATATCTCCTTTGCACCAAACCTTGGTGAAATAAATAAAGGCTTTAAAATAAACTTTTATCAGCTGTGAATATTTCCATCTTGGTGTGAATGTCTGTAATTTATTCTTGTTCATATGTAAAAATCCATGTAATCTTGTACTGAGATACAATTTACACATATATACTGTAATTTAATGATGAGCTGCAATTCTTACTAGAATATTAAACTTTGCAGCTAAAAATATTTGCTTTAACTTATAACCGAATAACAGAATATTCTAATTTTAAATCAGTGTTCAATAAAAAAGACTCCTGTAAGTCCTGTAAACTAATGAAGTTAACATTTTACTTTCAAAAAATATTTTTAACATAGTTAAAAGTTACCATTAAAGCATTTTTTTTATTTTAAACATGTGAAAGAGTAAAATCGATTTTTTTTTATTTTAAACATGTGAAAGAGTAAAATCGATTTTTTTTTTCAAAAATAAAAAAGGCGCAGAAACTCTCAGCGAGCTGTAAATATGCTTACAGTGAGTTTGAAATCTCCAGCAGACTCCCTGACTGACAGGAAGCTCTCCTGGCTGTCAGCTCGGACCACAGGCCACACTGAGGGGTGGTCAGTCAGCCTCACATCTCCCCCACTAAAGCTCAAATCACAAAATCCGTCACGAGCTGAAACCTCCGACAGCCTGTTCTGGCGCCGAGCCTCCCTCCCTGTGTGCTCCGAGAGACGCTTCCCGACAAATTAGGAGCTTTTATTACATTTTAAAGGTCAAACTAGAAAACTGGAAATTAAAGTGACATTAAAGTCGCTGAAAACTTCAATACTTTCCAAAACAACTTGTTAACAACAAAATAAGAAATGATTAGGCTTTTAACACGACAAATATCTGTTTTAGGAGGTTTCTTGATGATTTTCCTGGTGATCAGAAGTAAACTTACTGTATTAGTAAGAAAAACGAGCACTGATTTTTACTTGTGCTGCTTTTTAGCTTTAATAAACCACAATTTTTTAGTTCTGCTAAAGCAAAGGAAAATGTGCTCTTTCATTTGAACCAAGTGCTTCTGCTCAAATTTAGCAATGACTATAATGAAAAATACACTTTGGTATTTATTTGTGAAGCCTTATTTCATGAAAGAGTGGGCAAATAGTGATAGAAAAATGTCATGACCTCATGTGAGTGTGATCTCTGACGCACACTCGAGCAGCTTGAACCCAGAGAATAAACACTTGAGCTTTGTATAACAAAAATGGCAACAGATTTGAAGCTTTTACTTAAGATTTCAATCATTTTGAAAACAAACATTTAATTAAAAGAGTTTAAGGGAATTATTCGAAAGGTCTTATAAATAAGTAGCTATTAGTGGGCTCTAACCTTCATGTTTAATGATTTTTTTCATCATGTTTTTAATAAAAAAAAACATATTTTTCTTTAGTGGAAGCGTACGTTCTGTTCCTGAAATGTCACAGTTGAAGAATAAAAAATAAAGAAATAAAAAATGTTTGTGCCACAAATTTAGGTTGGAAGCTCCAACATTTTTACACGAGTATTTAACTACAACTCGTCTGACCTTTCCTCTCATCCTGGTTTTGTTTTCAAGAAGCCAAAAAAGTTCAATGAAACTCATTTTAAGTCTGCACTCATTCATTACTAACAAGAAGCGTCAGTTGCAGCTCTGCTCACCACCTGGCATTGTTTTTATTGCCACATAGCATTAGCTTATTGAGGGTTTTCCCTTGGATAACTCTTGTGCACTGACAGCTCTTGGATAGGTAGGTCACATTTGTTGACCTCGTTTGGATGATTCATCAATACTTTTAGTGCTTTTAGATAATTGAGGGGAGGTTGGGTGACATTATGTAAAAGGATAATAAACCGAGAGCCAGGCGTTCAGTGCTACTCTGACATTAAAGGTCTGCAAGTTTAAAAAAATATATATACATGTAATCATACAGCATCATTGTTCTATTTTATTATTCTATTTATTTCCTATTCAGGGCATAAAAGTGCATTTAAAATACACTGTAACACTTCCTGTTATGTAACTGAACGTTATACATTTTGTTTCTCTTGCATGTTAAGGGATATATTATTCAAAATCCACTTTTGTAGGCGATAAATACATTTTGTTGTGTACTTGTTGTCTCTGGGAGTGCCAAAATTCGGAATTTAGTCTCTCCCGGTGCTGTGTTGATATCCTTATATTCTGTTTGTTTCATAAATTTCTAGTCCGTTCAGTTTTTTTCTATTCTCTATTACGTATTTTGAACACTAACGTCACAGTATTTTCTGCAGAACTGCTAAACAAGGTCATGGACTCATGGCTGATCAATTTCGTGAATGCGGGTTTCTACAGGTTTGTTGTCTTAACTCTCCTCTGGCTCCGGGTCAGACTCTGTAAGGCTGGATGGGCAAGTCTTCCCTTGTTGACATCTTTTAAACAACTTTTAAATTAAACGTTTCTAGGCCACAACTCTGCTATCTGCTGTCAAACTACAAAAAGAGCCGAACAAGTTGGACTGGACAGTGATTGTTGGGAGTGATGCTGCATTCTGGTTGTACTCTGAGGTCGGAATTTCAGACTTTCGAGTTGAAAATATCAGCCGAAGCCCTAATATTGTCATTTTGAGTCATGTCGGTGCAACATGACCATACTGACCTCGAGTGACATCATCATTTCAACATGGCTCTCCTTGTATCAATAGAAGAGTGAAACTCTTTACAGATTTTAGCAGTTCTGTGTTGTTTACATTAAATCAGGTGTACTTGTAGTACTTTACAGCGAGTATTAGACAATATGTTTTGATGCTGTTTGTGTGCTCAAAATGCCACGTTGAGTGTTATTGTTATGTCATGGTAGAATTATTCCATTAGAGCAAGAAATAGAAAAGTTCTTTTCCGGCGTTCTGAAAAACCTGAAATTGGAATACTTTCAACTCAGAATCGACACAAGTCTGACTTCACAATTTCGAGTTCTGCTGCAATCGGAATGCAGAATGAGACCTGGAGGGGGTGGGGTTTAAAGTACCTCGTTTGCATTTAAAGAGGCAGCACCAAACCGAGTTGCTCTCATACGCACTTCAGATCGGGGTGAACGAGGAGCCCGTGGAGCTACAATAATGAGGAATTCAAACCAAATCATTGCAGTTCCACTTTATATGGACCACAACGGAATGATTTAAATGTGAAATGAATATATTTTAAAAAGCATACACCCCCTTTAAAGCATGAACTATTTGGTTTGTTTGATCGAACAGTTATTAACATGCTATTTACCACAGAAAGCTCCGACACACTATAAATAAATATTAACTGCATCTACTGAACTCAACTGATGTTGTTTTTTTGATACATAATTTAGCTTTGTAAGCCATAATACCACACTGCTGAATGAGTTAGTGGAGCCTTTCAAACAATGTGGAAAAAAATGACATATGGATTTTCGTTTTCTCGCTTGTAGCTCCTCTTTAAAACAAAAACAGTCGACCCTTTGTTAGTCTAACAGATCTAGTTTGCAAGCGGTCTTTGCAGTTAAAAAAAATATTAATTTTACCCCATTGCAGTCAACACTTATTTACAATTTGCAACATAGTTTCTTTTGAGAACAACAGAGGAGCAGCCAAAATAAACTGACAGCAGTGAACCGCTTAAACCACCTAAATTTAGGCTGTAGAAAAAAAATTCAAAGTAAAGCAAGACTTATCAAAATTAAATATTAAGTTCAGTATCTAAACATTTATTATAATGTATTTTTGTGTTAGCGGGCCAAAAGCAAATATAAATTTATAATATTAAGTAGGGGTGCACGATAGTTATCGGCCCGATATCAGGGAATTATGACGTCATACTTATCGGTCCGATATCATAACAAACAGAACCGATAATATATGTACATGTTTGCCAGCGCGGAGATGAGAATGTGTGTTTATTTTTATCCTTTTTGGTCAAGCCGCTTCCCGTCCGACACGACCCGAGCAACGTTCAAGTAGCGTTGGAAAAAACAACTTTCTAACTAGAAAAATAATTAGAATACTCTGTGCTGAAAAACAACCAGTCATTTTAAGAATTATTAATATATTTTACCAATTAACCCTGTATGTTACACACAAACAGAGTTGTAAAGTAACTAAGTACAAATACTTTGTTACTGTGCTTAAGTAGAAATTTTGGGTAGCTGTACTTTACTTGAGTAATTATTTTTCAGCGTACTTTTTACTTTTACTCATTACATTTTTACACAACTATCTGTATTTTCTACTCACTACATTTTTAAAAAAGGTAAGATGTAGAAAGTCGTTATTCCTGTTTTATTCCGAGTTACTACTTAAAAAAATACTATCCTGATAAATTGTGTCTCCTGGATAGAGTGAATTTAATAGTGGTTGGATGAGAAGTATAAATATATACCATTCTGACACCCTATTAGCTTGTACACAACCCATCAGAGCTGTATGCCGTTAGAAAAAATATTTTTTGGAGAAGTCACCTCCCAGTAAATGTCATTTTGGAAAATCTAACTGCTCACTTTTACTCAGTACTTTTACTTTTAACACTTAAGTAGATTTTGTGTCATAAACTTACTTTTGATACTTAAGTACAAAAAAAATCAGATACTTTAAGACTTTTACTCAAGTAATATTTTTAGAGAAGACTTTAACTTTTACCAAATAATTTTTACGATAAGATACTTGTACTTTTACTCAAGTATCACTTTGAGGTACTTTATACAACACTGCACACAAACATTGCAACAACTATTCCCAATTTGAGAACATGTAAAGTCTGTTACCTCATGAATGCAGCACAGAGTCCATTCTGCTAAAATGCTAACAACAAGCTAGCGTTCAAAAACTCATTGGGACTTAAATCACTGCTGAGGCTTTTGACAAATCCAATTAAATTGCCAGAGAGGATGCAGATCTCAAGAACTTTAACGGTGGAAACGATGGAGTTTGACAAGCAGCCGTTCACCCTCGCTAAAGACTGAAGCTTTTTTCTCCTGTTAGACACTGTTTACCAGCCGAGCTGCTGCTGCCTCTCTGTGTCTTCCTGTAAGTATGATGTGGTCGTAATGCATTCACACTCTCAGAAGCACTGTTTTGGGTAGAAAAATGTTTAAAATCATATATTAATAATAATAACAACAAATGTACTTGTGTTAGTGCATTATCTGTTTTGACTTTGTTGAATGACTTTTTCTCTTTTGTTTGAATCTGAGATCAGTGTTAAAGGTCTTTTTTAATAATTAATGTGTCTTATTATAAAAAAAGGCCATTTGAGAAATTGTTTTGTTTGATATAATTTAAGAAATGTTTGTTTGCATGTTAGTGTTAATGTTAATTTCAAATAGTATAATTTACAGTGTCATTTGGTTTTGGTCTTGTTTATTTATGTTATGATCTTACCCATTTTTGATTAGTCTTATCTCCTGGCATGTTATCGGTTATTATCGGTCATCGGTCATTAGAAGGAGAAAGTTATCGATTATTGGTATCGGTTCTTAAAATAAGTTATTGTGCATCCCTAATATTAAGGCACAAAAATCTCACCTGAAGCCAAACTTATCCATTGCGATGGCGAAGTGTCTTGGCTGGTCGTAACAATGGTAGAGGTTCCGGTCATCCATCGGGATCAGGTCCACGTCGCTGAAGATGAAGCAGTCGTACTCCGCCTCTTTCAGAGTCTCGGTGTAGCCGACGTTCAACAACTTTGCACGATTGAAGGTGTCCTCCCCCAACTGCAAAGGCAACAAGACAACTTTATATTATAAAAAATGAGGCAAAAATGAGGATAACATGGCTTGTTAGCAAAATCCAGCCCATCACATTGGATTGAAAGTAATGATAAAGTCATTAAGTGCTTAAAAAAAACTGAAGATTTTCATTTTTTCTTCCACGTGTTTTTATAAATAATCACTTCACATTATTAAAAGAGACATCCAATGACCCTGGTTTTATCTTGTATTCATCTTTGCTCAAATAATACTAATTAAATCACATTCAAGCAAAAGAAAATATAAAATTTGTCAAGTTGTTCATCTTTTAATCTTTTTGCCTTTGCTAAAAGGATTAAAACCTTCAACCTAACCACAATGTAATACAACAGTGCATCAAGGAACATCAGTATTTAGTGTCTGCAGTGCTGCTTTGTGCAGTATTCAGTGCTACATGCTGCATGAATGGATGAGTTCATTGACTCTATAAAAGCCAGCTGCTACGCTAACGTGCATCTTTTTCCTCAGTGTCAGAGCAGCACAGGTTCAGGACTTTGGCTAAGATAAATGAAGGTTCGTCTGACAGCGCAGCAGCATGAGACAAGTCAAGGTTAATATATCTGTCAGTTAGAAAAAGTAATATTGTACAACGTATTGTATCTCTCTCTTAGCAGAGCCTTTGTGCAGCGAGTTGGTTTGGTAAGTCGAGGTCCTTGTCAGGCAGAAGGAAGGTCAGCAAACAAAAGGAGACACTACAGTGCAAACTAACTTTCATCAAACTGTTACGTGCTTTGAATTTTTATTATTTCCTGAACAGGTACAGGGAGGTAAAGCAGAAAGAATAGACGTAAACATTCAAACTCTTGGCTTTGTGTGTTTTCTGCGAGACTTGATTCTAATGAGGAAATGCCAATTCAGAGTTTAACTAAGTCTCTCAGAAATACCAAAACACTCAAAGCCTTAAGTGGTTCAACAACTTCATCTGTCCCATGACCAATAAGCAACACCGAAATAAAAGCATTGAAAGTAATTAATATATTTAAGATTCACCCACTTATGTTTGTTATCTAAAAGCAAAAGCAGCAGCTTGCTAAAAAAATGTTGGCTACATTAAGTCTCGGTTACTTTTTGTCCTCTCTTATAACCTCATAACCTTTTAAGAAATATTGTTTTGGAGAACATGAGAAAGATTTAAAATTTTAGCAGTTTCCACTGATCTTCTTTTGTCAGAAACATGAATATATGAATCAAATACTACAAACAAGTAATGTTTATTTGCATGTTACGATGGAGTATTACGGCCAGACTACCAGATTTGTTTTCTTTAATTACAGAAATAAAACGATAAAATCACAGGAGTAAAGTCATGGTATTCTGAGAATAACGTTTTAATATTATGAGAGTAAAGTCAGAATTAAAGGAAAAAATATTCTGTTTAACACTGATTCCTAAATGCAATACGCATTCTTGTTTTTATTGAGAAATTTAGACTATTTTTGATAATCAAAATGTGTAATAACATATCTTTAAGTGCCATGATTAAACTGTCATTAATTGATGTGCACTCTGTCCAGAATGACCTGTGTCACGGGTTATCTCAATATAGCGTGTACTTATCAGTTTTACAAATGGGAAAATAATTTTATTATTATAAGTAGCAGGACTTTAAAATAATTGTGTAAATGAATGTGTCTGTTTTGAAGATTACTCTCATATAATTTTGACTTTATTGTTTCAACTTTGTTAACCTATTATTGCAACTTTTTTCTCTTATCAATTTGACTTTATTCTTGTTTGACTTTATTCTGGTAATTAAAAAAATACTCTGTCGTACCATTTTACTGCTGAACATATGATTTGATATATTATAATCACATTTAAAAACCTGATTAATAGAACTTATTTTAAACCAAAACATTCATGCAAGAGGTCACAGTGCAGAAACAACTACTGTCAACAGTTGAAAAGTATTATTTTTGAAAAGTATTATTATATAGGAGTCCAGACATCAGACCTGACCATACTAAACAAAATCTGCATTACGCAGCAGAATGGTGAACTAGTGTCCATTTTGCTGAAGCAACCTTTTCTCTGAGTATCAGAGGAAACCACCCACTTCTGACAGCAACAAGACACTTTCAAATGATTAATACCTCTGCTGCCCAGCCTTATGTCTGCTTTGAATACATTTTCTTTTTGTTTTTGGGGAGATATATTACTCTCCAAACTCATTATCTGTTCAGGACGACCATGAATCAAGTGCAGTGCCTAATCCCCCTTGTAAACCAACTAATACCTGAGATTTCAGAGCATAATCCCCCCACCGCCGCTCAGGTAACAAAACAAAAATCTATTGTCACAAATCCACTCAGGCTTCAATTATCAGCTAAGATGCTCCTCTGACTGTTTTGGAACAACGTTCTGTCGAGCTGGCTGGAACAATATCGTCTGAGGTTAGGAAAATGCTGTTGATACTTGAGGGTAAAAAATGTGATTACATTTTCAGAAACAACAATCTTGTAACAGGTAACGCATCGCACCATGCACTAAATCGAACTATACAGAAGCAGCCAGACGGGAATGATGGCAAAAATATAACAAATTCAGAACCATCGACTTGAAGACGAAGTGATATTTTAAAAACAAACATGTCAACTTTTAAAATGTGAGCGTCAGCTGGGTATGGAGCTGCCACCAAGTCTTAAAATCTATTAGTTTCTGTAATTAATGTTTGGTTACGACTAAATGATCCTTAATATCTATTATCTATCCTAATTCGATGGAAATATATGTGAAGAGGTATGAGTGGGACCACTGGCAAAAATGCTAATGAGCATGTGCAGTCGGGGGAAGAAAAAAATCTCCAGAAACTAGAAAATATTGTTTTCCGGGAGCGATTTCAGCTGGAGGGATGTTCTGCTGTACGATGATTGGCTGTACTGCTGACAGGCTACAAATAATGCTCCGGGGTTTTGCGTTGTCATTCAGGGGCTACAGGTGATTAGTCTGAATCCCAAAATATCCAAACTAAATTGCAGATGTGCACTTTTTGACTGACAACGCAAATGGTTTCAACAGTTTTTTTTGTTGTTGTTGTTCCCTGATAAATGTGTCATCAAGAAAACACTAAAAGTGAGCAAACTTTTTTCCTCCTTCAGTTTTATTTAGAGCAAGTGTATGTAGAGAAAAAAAAGTACTATTTTAGCACCAGAAGCTGTTTATTTCTTTTCGAACTTAACAGAAAACAGAAAAAGGTTTAGATTTTATTAATGTATAGTAAAAACCAGTTATTTGGAAACATATTTTGTGCTGATTTTCACCAAGTGAAGCCTCCTTATCTTTAGAGACATTTGTGAACCTCACGGCAGCTCGGCTTTATTGAGCTTGACATCTTGTCTAATCACTAACCGCCATAAGCGAGCTCGCATCAGTTCTTCAAACTGACACCCATTAAATTGGACGGGACATCCAGGCGGCATGGAAATGCAGAACCAGTAGGTTTCCTTATAGACATTTGTAGGCTTTTAAGTGCGGAAGAGCTTCGTTTGAGTTTAGTCACATTTTACATTTTCATTAAAACCATACTGATGCTGATCAGATATTATCATCTATTAGTGTTTTAAAATTTGAAATGAGAAAATTAGAAAAAGAAATCACTGATATTAATGTAGAAAATTGTGCAGAATCAGTTTACAAACTTTTTATTTTTTAAAATAGTTATTTTATTATGTTGACGCAGTGTTCGCAGAGGACTTCGAATTTTCCGCTGCAATTGGCTGCATTTTTTTATATTTATTTTTTCCATTTTCTTTCTCACCCTTCAGGCGATTGTTTTCTCACCAAACCTCAATTGCTCAACTTATTTTGTCACTCAGAATGCTCTGGAAAAGGCCGCACCAACACTATTTGCCTGCAGTGGCCCACAGGGGACAGTAAAAACTGTTCATGTGTGAATATTTGACAAATCAACAAATTACAGAGTGAAACGCAGAAAAGGGCACTCCAATTCAGCAGAAAGAGATTTTTGCTTTCTCATTTGCAGTTTCACAGGCATCTTTTAACTTTCAAGGACATTTCTGCTCCATTAATATTTGTTCAGCCTCCACATAATGCTGTGTTCATATGCGTGCGAGCATGCAGCCTTGGCCCTGAGTAAATGAGTTTACTGACAAGTGTGACAAGTATGTGTGAACCGCAAATATGGGTTTCTTCAGTTTGATGATTTGTCTGCGTTCTGGAACTCACACATGGATGAAACACTCCAAAATGCAGCATCAAACATCCCGTTTAAATAAATGAGGTGCATTTGTGTTCAAGTTATTTCCGAAAATTGTCACATCTGCTGCATCACATTTATTATGTCAGTTTTATAGGAATTAGGACTGATAAAAGACTTAATAGCTGCTTAAGGATTTTAATAACAAACTTTACTTCATGTAAAGCTTAATCAAGAAACTAATAGGAGAAAAGAGATGAGATGATTTGGCAAACAGCAAACTGCATGACGCAGAGAAGGGCAACTGCTGGCCCATGGGCCACATTCGACCCGTGGGTGACTTCCATCCGGCCCGCTAATGTACTAACCGCTAATGCGCTAACTTAAGTTTTTGAGTGCTCTTTTATGTATAAAAGAATGCAATATATAT